ATGTTTTAAAACTTTGTACATTTCCTAGCCGTCTCATCGCAGAAATCACCAGAAACCGCAACGGACACACAAGGAGTGTAAAATGTTTACATTTCAGAATATTTAGCGTTGTAAATCGACCATATTTGGTTTCCCAAACTATTCCGTATAGCGTATTAAGTCAACGGTTCCTCGCGTAACCTAACACCGCGTAACACAACGCGTAACGCTTTCATGAATAAATACACATGTGTCCGAGAATTAATTTATCTTTCGCCTTTCTCGAGATGTGAGCTTGGGATGCCTCTGCTCAAACTCCTTAATTGCAAGCGCGACAACAACCTCGAGAAACCTCACCCCAGCACCCCGGGGTTGTAAGATTGTATGTAAACGCGTTTTATTTTTCGACCACGGCTAGGCGGGTTACCTCACCTACCTGGGGTCCCCCACCTCAATGTAAACAGGCCATAGATCAAGTACAAAACCTAGAAAAATCACTCGTTCATGGTAACTGGATATAGTTTCGATTTGGAGTAAAATGAAAACTGTAAGTGTGCATGAGAGAAACTCTATCAGAGTTTCGATAATTTTTCATGGCGAGTATACCCATAAAATAGATTTTATATTTGTTTTATTTTAACAGCAGCAAGCTACCAGTATATTGTACCTCAAGACAAAATTGACAACATTGCTACATTTATGACCAAGTGGAGTGTTTTTAGACTGATAAATCAGTTTGTTATTTTAAGAAAATAATTCTACCGCGCTCAAAAAGAAAAAATATATGAAAAGTAAAAAGAAGCTTAAGCTATTATGCTTTCTACTTATTACTCGTTTAAAAATAATACTAAAAGCTTTGCATCATTAATTTGCTTAGATCACATGTTTTTGGTATCATGGAACAGTAATCAAATTTTGTGCAGCCTTGCAAACTGAACTCTGTTGACTGACTATACCTTGACAAGCAAAAGTGTTTCTTGTGATGACAGAGGTTAAGTTTTAAGACTATTCAAAATTTTAGGGATGAAAGTGAGCTTGAACTTGAGAAATACAATTCTTAAGTATTAAAACGCTATATAATATCTTTCAATATGTCAGATAATGACACACTTCTACTCAGATTTTGAACAGACATTTGTACTTCAGGTCTAAACATCAAGAAATCAAAGCATACCAGAAGAGAATGTTAGGAATAGGAAAACTTGAATGAGAAAAAATTTCCTAATTTTTCTTTGTCTTCAAAGCTCCAGAAACAGACAAATTAAG